TGGCTTAGAATCCAAGCTCTGAAGGCTGATATGAGTCGATACCGACCCTTTTGCTGGTTGCACCTTGATAAACTTGGGTCCAATGGTGCACTCACAGCGGGATTCTTGAAGCCTGTATAGAGGAAAAAATAACACACATTTGCATATCAAATTGCCACACACTGTAGACTCGTGCATGACCCATCCCGACCGTCGAGCGATGAAATACAGAAATTCGTTAGTGAATCGGGATGAGCTTCAGTAGTCGGATTTACGTGATGCGAAGAATTGTCGATGGGTTGGATCCCTATTGCTGACGCTCAGGTTTGGATATCGATGGTCACCGCGCCACCGGAGAGATCCGGACAGATTCCACCAGTTTTAGAAGTCTATATGAGGATTACTGATGCAGAGGCAACGCAGATCATCAGCGAGAACCGATATGTTGTGGAATATTCCACGAAAAAGTAAGTGGGGTTGAGCTAAGTATCGATGGTGAATGATTTCGACCGATCGGGATCGAGCTTCCGTCGCGCGAGCAACGGTGAAAACTAATTTTTTGGTATGGTACCAACTCGGGTTCATTCTTCGCGAATCTTATGGTTCCGAACTATTAGGATCAATCGCTGTCAAAATTGTCAAATTTGGCAATCCATGTTATAATTGATTATTACATGGATTGTCAATTTTGGACTTGGCGGATTAGTTCCATCTGTCGACTGATACTTATGGCATGTGTCGAGGCCTCCGCGGATTGTCTTGTCCGAATCTGTCACGGGTCATATCAGCGACATCCTTGTTAGGCTCGATGCAAGCTGTGGTGATGCTCTCCTGGCCAGGCTGAAACAGAAAAATGCGTACTCAGCTGGAGGCCTGTGAGTGCTTACTCTAGTCACCGTTCCCGGTGGTATGCGTCGTGATTCCAGGTACTTCGAGTGTAGTAAATCCACCATGTCGTACGATGCTTGCGCAGACGCTATGTTGGAGGTGTTGAAGAAAGAGTGCCCACGGCGATACTGCCTTTTGGCTGGTTACAGGTAGGCATAGTTTGGACTCTGTTCATATCCCTTGGGTCGGCACAGGAAGTAGTGAGGTGACAACTTGTCTCTGGGAAGATTCATTGTTGGCGATGTTTACATGTCATCGATCAGAGCTCATGCATATCGTGGACTGTTGCAGACGCATCTGCCGAAGGTAGCCGACTGGTTGCATCAGAACGCTGTCATGGATGTTTCATCTTTACACCAGTACGAGGAGATGAACTCACCATGAGCTGATTTCTTATGTGTCGTGCGCCGCGTCAGATTTGCGATTCGTCATGGACACGTCAATGGTGCTGCACCTTCGAGCCACCCACGATCATCACTGAGTGGGAAGGCACATTGTTTGGATGCGGAGTCCGACGTGAACTCAAGCATTGAAGTTTTTCGTTGGCTTTTAGAGCAGAATTGTATCTTCCGTTGAACGGCCGAAGGAGAAACGTGTTGCGTTGTGAGAAGTGCGAACGCTTTGCTGCGTTCTGCGATCTCTATGGTGCGTTTGCTGCACTGCAAATTGTGAAACAAACTTGAGGCATCATTTCAGCTCTTCCCGGTTCGCCTGACGTCGGCCGTGGACGTTATATATTATCATGGTGATGAGATGGACAGCTCACCTCTCCGTATACTATACCTTTAACATATGACACTTTGGCCGAGTGGTTAAGGCGGCGGCCTGCTAAGCCGTTGGGCTCTGCCCGCGAGGGTTCGAATCCCTCAGGTGTCGTTTCGGTAATTTTAGGATTTTCATATTCCAAATTTCACGGAAATGCGAAGTCACATCCTGCTATAGAAGATGCAGCATCTCAGATGCTTAGCGCCTAATGAACGACTAGGGACGGATACAGCTTATACTCACGAACAACAAGTCTCTCTCGTTCCCCTGTTGACACTCAAGACCAGTCGTATCAGATTTTCGACAGGATTTTTCGACGGCGTTACCCCATAAGGGAGGCCCCAGGAATGTTCTCACGAAAACACAATTCATTCTCAGCAGGATGCGTAAGGAACAATATGACATTGCGGGTGGTGGCATCACTAGCAGAGCGAAGGAGTGGTCCGCCATCGTAATAGTAGCATTGTTAGCAGAACTTCCACTTGTTGCCGCAGTTCAAACAGGTAACGAACGTAGTCATAGGCTCATCAGAAGAACGAGTCTGCATTTGAAAGTATCTGAAAAGTGAAAAATTATAGGTATCAGACGGCAGAGTTAGCTCACGTCGTCTGACTCTTCCTGCATTTTCCACACTGAAACATGCCACTCTTCTGTATCGCACCATGACGCATAGCCCAATCGGACTGACATTCCTCCAGAGCAGCTTTGGCTGCATTGGCACGATGCTGATACGATGAATTTTGACGACTGTCCTCTAGATAGGTGACCCAAGTTGACTCACCTGGTTCTTAGCCTCTGATGCCATGTCTTCTGAAGTCAGGGTAGAGTACTTTTCACGAGGAAATAATCCTACAAGCACCTGAAGGCAGCAGTAGCTCCTAAATAGTACACCTGCTAGTCCACCACCTTCCATTGAAAATCAGGGTTCGAGGAGTCCGTCAAGTTGTATTTGATGCTTCGTATTTGCGACAAGTACCTAAGGATTTACCCACTGTGAGAACTTGCATTTCAAGGCGCCGTACTCCCTTTCTGACAGCTTTGAATGACACTCTGCCTCAATCTCTACAGCCCTGACGGCGGGTTCAGCCTCTTCTGGATTCCGTCTAGGCCTCAGTGCTTTGAATAAGAGATTGCGAATCTAAAACGAGCGTGTGTCATTTCCATAGACAACTAGAGAATATTCTTTGGTTATGGATGCTGACCAACGATCAACAATAGGTCGAACGTTGAGTTCAATTATTACTACGAATCCTACGCTAACCTTGCAGTACTGGAAGCACTCGACCACGATCCACCCGGTAGTATGACCTTGTCTCTCTTCGGATCACCGCATCTTGCTACTTCCATGACAGACGTGAGATCAGTATTTCCACTGCTACTGCTGCAGCTGCCATCAGTTGTCGAGGCATCAGCAGTAGGTTGACCATTCACTGGCTTCGACGAGTTCTCCATCGCAGACTCCGCACTGGAGACCGATTTCGGATGAGAGTGATGATGGCCTGACGCATTGAGAGTTTCTAGACTGAATTATTCGCCCGTCAGATTGCCCATATTTCTCCAAGAGAACTACCCCGTGAAATGGTCACCTGATGAAGGCTTATAATCGATCTTCTTCTTCCAAGCCCCCATGAGGTTCTTAGCGGCCTTCTTGGCCCGTGGTGTTGTCTCATCAGCATTGGCCGCTTTGTTCAAGGCTTTACCTGATACCACAATCATCCCAGGCTGATCATCAAAATACACTTCTCCCGATTCTAATTCGCTCTAAAACGAGCCGATAAGGCAGATTGCCATATAAGACACATGACGGCATTACGAAGAGACTATCGTTTCTTGATAATACTGTCGAATTACTAGAGTCAACGTAGAGTGTAATACACAGAAACAACCTCCCTCGATTGAACCGCCATATAATGGTAAAGGCTTAATACTAC